AAACCCCTTAGATGTTTTAATCTTTGAGTTCTGTTAGAATAAATCATCTAAATTTGAAATACCAAAAGTCTACGTTATCAGATTGCAAAGATATAGGGATTTGAGAATTTTAGTTTGTGGCAAAAACTTGATTCCTTTCTATATTTACAATTCTCCATACAAACTGTAAGTAACTGTAAGTCAAGTAATGAGTTGGGATATGTTTCTAGAAATCCTTAAAGGGAGTGTTCGCGAAAAATGAAATGGGGTATAGGCTTACTGCGATAGAAAAGCGCTTTTGATAGCTAATAATCTTACTTCTATCTGTTGCGTCTATAAGGAGAAAATTGTTAAAGACGTCTCATACCGAATAACTTAGCGCCCATACAAATTCAGAAAATTGCAACAAATTACTTAGACCGTAAAAAAATCAATTTAATTTCTAACAAATCATTCAGATATTACAACCTATAGTCGTCGATTATCTTTCGCCTCATTTGTATATAGTTTATATTTTATAATACTTTTTAATTAATTTGTTTTGAATTTGATTATTTCTCTTGTCGCTTGCGCAACTATCTACGAATGCCGCGAACCACTCACATTTTTCGAAATCTGTTAAAACGTTTTATAAAAAAAATAAAATATTATAAAATATAAAATATATACAAATGTGGCGAAAGATAATCGATGACTATAGGTTGAAATATCTGAATGATTTGTTTGAAATTAAATTGATTTTTTACGGTCTAAGTGTATGTTGCAATTTTCTGAATTTGTATGGGCGCTAAGTTATTCGGTATGCGACGTCTTTAACAATTTTCTCCTTATAGACGCAACAGATAGAAGTAAATTTATTAGCGATCAAAAGCGCTTTTTAATCGCATTAAGTGTCGTTTAGAACAGATTTAGTTTATAGAGGATAATCTTTTCTATACGTAAAAACCTCTTTAATGAATCAGAATTATTTCAGTGCATTCACTGATAGAAAATGACTGCTATGCAATAAATTTGTACAATCGTTTATTTCAATACAGAATGACAAATAAACGAGTACTCGACCTTTCCAGGGGGATTGGCAAGGTCGTCATCTATAGCTTACTTCTATACTCCAGGCTCTCAGTACGCAGAGAGTCGAAGTATGAAGGGGAGGAGGGGAAGAGAGGAACGCCCACTCTAACCTCTACCAGTGATTCTAAATAATAGAATAATATTAACGACGATTGGCCATGTACTTTATAGTAAACCCTGAAACTATAGAAAACATCAAGAATAGAAAATGTAATTTTGTAATATCGATTTATGTGAAATGGGCTTTAATTAGTGTATTATATACCTGAATATTAATTCTGATTTACCAAGCAGCAGACTTTTGTCAACTGAGACCTAAATCTGGCTCAGAGCATACTGCAGTACAGTGTACAGTGCATACAGTGCATGTTTATTTTTGTAATCAGGTTTCTGTATATTCATCCTTCTCCAGGGTCCCTGCAGTACAGTAAGGAGCGGGGTGGAGAGAGAATATTCACACATTATGTTCAATTTCTTCTGTATTGTGCAGCTTGTACAACATTAAGCCTATACCCCCTTTCATTTTTCGCGAACACTCCCTTTAACAGTGTATTTGCCCTTTTTCTAGCAATAATTTTAACTTTGAATTGTTGACACCATTTTCTTCGTTCATAAGAAACGAACAAATTCGCATGTTTTCCTGTTTTCATTGACAATGTTAAAAAAATTTTCATAAAATTATTTTGAGGCAATTTTTTCGAATGTCGCCATAAACCTTCCGTCGGGTCATGTGAGCCAAATATTTAAATAAAAACAAAATAAAACAATTTCAGGGTTTTATTTATATCATAAAACATATTAATTTTGAAAAATAAAAAATTTAACAAAATTATTTTTGTGACATATGTTCTAAAACATCCTGGGACAAAATATATTTCTGTAAACTATATTCTTCAAATGTTTGTGTATTCAAGTGAACCCTAATAATCCTATTCTAGTTTATAGATCATAAAACAGAAAATAAACAGAAATATATTTTAAGGTGTTATTTAATGATTTAATACTATATTTAGTGGTGCAGTTATGTACACTGAAAGGCATGGATTTATTGATTGATTTTGCATGTTTCAGACCATAAATTTTGGTTGTAAACCGAAATGTGAAACCTAATCGGTCCAAGTATAAGTGTATAAGTGTATAAATGAAACCAAATACACATATTTGCATGCTCTGAACCTAAACTACTCAATATCCGACTAATATTGCTTTATTGCACGCATAATAAAGAATATTCAGAGGCAAACAATAACAATACACGATTTCTCTTCTCTCTAGGTATGAATATGTACCTGGAGATGTATTTGTTTATTGGTTTGTGTAAGACTAGGAGAATATTTAACCCTGATAATAATGTTTGGATATAATAAACCAATATCTAGATAATACTGATTATTGCAGAACCTTTGGTTTAGGTTCAACTATACTCTAGCCTCTCAACCTAATAAACAGTTATGAAAAGATCACAGTTCTCCGGGTATAGACTATAACAGGCAGAGAGTGATAGAAGGGTACTTGAGTTGGTACTTGAGTCGGTACTGAGTAATATAGTTGAATTGTTGCTAGTAAGGGAAGGACAAAGTTTATTTGAAAAATTAAGTGGGTAAAGGAAGGAAAGATAGTTGAGAAAAAAGGAAGGTTAATTGAGAAGGTAAAGAAAGGAAGGATATTTGAGTAGGGAAAGGAAGGATAGTAGTGTAGGTTAAGGAAGGTACAATTGTTAAGTAGAGAAAGGAAGGAAGAATTGTTAAGTAGGTAATGAAAGGTAGGATAGTTGAGTAATAAAAGGAAGGTAGGATAAAGGGAAAGTAGAAAGGAAAGGAGAAAAAGAGTAAGGATAGTTGAGTAGGAAGTAAAGAAAGAAGGTTAGGTAAGTCGGTAGGAAAAAGGAAGGTTAGGTAAGTCGGTAGGAAAAAGGGAGATCAGGTAATTCGGTAGGAAAAAGGAAGGTTAGGTAAGTCGGTAGGAAAAAGGAAGGCTAGGTAAGTCGGTAGGAAAAATAAAGGTTAGGTAAGTTTGATTGAAAGAAGGAAGAATAAAAGCTTGGAAGGAAAGAAGAAAGGGATAGCTAATAAAGAGGAAAGAAGGAAAGGAAGATAGCTCAAGTTTGATTTGTCAATATATATCAATTATAAAGCTGTAATAAAAGATAATAAAAAGCATGTGGAACAACATTAAAGTAATCAAGAAGTAATTACATTAATATCTCATTTCATTACTTTACATTACTTACAAAATTAGAAAAACGTAACGAAAGAAATAAAAAAAAATGTAGTTTTATCATGCATTTTTGAGACTTCAGTTCAAGAAAAGAATCAGAATGAAAATTATCTCAGATCATCCTGAGTCATGATTCTACTCCTACTCTGAACCCGTTTTCTATCAAAGATTCGATCCATAAATTATCCGTTCTTATGAGATCAGTATCATGATTTTCAATGTTTTTAAAATATGTTACTTCACTCCTGTTTTAATCTGTTTCTTAACCCGGGAGCAGTCTCGCTTCTGAACCATGGATTATTTAAGCTCCTGGATCAGGGATTGATCTATCTAGCTCTTAAAACCTGGATAAATCTAGTTTCTGAACCCTGGATAAATCTAGTTCCTGAACCCTGGATTAATCTAGCTCCCGAACCCTGGATTAATCTAGCTCCCAAACCTTGGATTAGTCTCGCTTCTGGACCCTGGATAAATCTAGCTTTTGAACCCTGGATAAATCTATCTCCTGAACCCTGGATAAATCTATCTCCTGAACCCTGGATAAATCTAGTTCCTGAACCCTGGATAAATCTATCTCCTGAACCCTGGATAAATCTAGTTCCTGAACCCTGGATTAATCTAGCTCCCGAACCCTGGATTAATCTAGCTTCTGGACCCTGGATAAATCTAGCTCCTGAACCCTGGATTAATCTAGCTCCTCAACCCTGGATTAATATAACTCCTGAACCATGGATAAATCCATCTCCTGAGCCCTGGATAAATCTTGTTCCTGAACCCTGGATAAATCTAGCTCCTGAACCCTGGATTAATCTAGCTCCTGAAGCCTGGATAAATCTAGCTCCTGAACCCTGGAGTAATCTAGCTCCTGAACCCTGGATAAATCTAGCTCATGAACCATGGATTAACCTAGCTGATGAACCATGGATTAATCTAGCTCCTGAACCATGGACTATCTAGCTTCTGAACCATGGATTAATCTAGCTCATGAACCATGGATAAATCTAGCTCCTGAACTATTAATCTAGCTCCTGAACCCTGTAAAAATCTATCTCTTAGTCTCCCTGAAACCTAGATTAATCTGACTTCATAATTCAGTTCTTGTGTAAGATAAATATTTTGTACAATCTTTTTTTCCCAGCTTTAATGCATATTCTTATCAAGGGTTGATTCAATATATGCATTTTATGAAGTAAATTATTTGTGGACGTATTTTGATTCCTGGAAACCTCTAAACTGTCTGTTTTTTGCGGTGTGTACAAGAAATTGTTTTAATTTACTCCCAGCTCCATCTTGTGATGCTAAATATTAGGAAAACCGTTGCAGAAAGTAGCGGGGGGAACCCAATCCTGGATTTTACAGGGCGTCCAACAATCCAGATATTAAAATCTACAATTTGATTTGGAATTTTTATTGATTTAAGTATTTTATCCAAAGTAAAAATCTTCCCCAATGTTACATTTAATTTCAGTAAACCTTACTGTGGGTATGTTAGATGTCATAGAAGTCTTTTTTCTCAAAATTGGGACACCCTGTATATCAAATATGATACTGAGTAGTTTGTGTTAAAGAATTAGACCAGCTCCTTTCAGAAGTAGGATTAGGTTCATGTTTGATTGTAAATAATATTCTAAAGATCCTGTTATTTCAAAACTATTAGTTTCTTTCAGGACAAAACTTTTAATCCTTTCTTTACCATCTCTCTCTACCTCTCTCTTGGTAAGATTAAGATATAATGACATTAAATATAAATTTAATTGATAATTATCTAGTGCTACTCCAGCTAGAAACGTTTACATAGTTTAAGGTCAGCGCAATAAACATATCGATGAATTTCTATAATTAGTATTTAAATCCTACATTAACCAGCTGACTCATTTACAGATCAAAGATTAGGGGTTTGTTTAAAATAATTTCAAGTTCAAAGTCTCAAGCTGTAAAGAAAATACAGGGGTGAGTGTAAAGGTTGGGTATTAATATAGTGGGAGAACATTTAACAAGATTATCAGTATGAAAACACTAGAGTTTAATGATTCTCTATCTTGGTCGCCATGTTGGCCATAGCCATGTACTTTCTCAAGTTCTCCTCGACCATCTTGGCCTGAGAAGGATCCGGGACCTTGTTGAACAAGCCTGGCAGCCTGGATAAATCTCCAAGAAGAGGATTAAAGGGTAGCATACCGAAAGGAGGAGGAAGACGGGGATGAGAGAGTCCTGCTGAAGGATGGGAAGGATGAGAATGAAGTCCTGACAGGAACGGAAATGGGAATCTCTGCTGCTGTTGTTGTTGTTGATGCTGATGCTGTTGCTCTGCAAAGAATCTTGCCAGGAACTCATTTTGATATGGAGGAATTGTATGTGAAGGAAGGTGGGATAAGGATGAACCTTCTCCAGAGTGAGGAACCAAGGGGCCTAGAGATGATTCCTCCATTTCAGTTGTAGACAGAAGTTTTCTGTGAAGAGCAAGATTTGAACTGTGCCTATCCCTACTCCGCTTTGAAGGAAAAGCAGCGTTGCAACCGTCTATGGTGCACTTGTGCACTAACTTCAAATGCACATTCTGATAATGAATCTTAACAGAGAAATGGTTTTGAAACTCTCTACCACAGTCAACACAACGAAGCGGGTTTTCCTTGTCGATGGGAATTTCGTCGAAAATATTATCGTATTCTTCATCAGAGTGCAGAGGAGTCTTTCTACCCATATACTCCTGGTTCTCCTCCTGCTCACCCTCTCCAATCCTCTCCTGATCTGTCAAATCATTCCTGACTTGTATTTTTCCAGTTGCTCCCTCCTCACGGTCGGATCCATTCAACTCCGGAGTTTTGTTTTCTTTTACATCATTTATCCTTTCTTCATTATCCCCAGGCTTAGGTTCGGTCTGATTGATTCCAGGGATATCAGGTTTCTCCGAAATTTTACTTTTTTCCGAACCTCCTTCTCCAGACTCAAAATCCATCTGATGCTCATCCTCGTCGTCGTCGTCCATGGGATCAGGAAATCCTTCATCATTGTCGTCGCTGGAGAAGTTTGTGTCCTCGTCATTCTTATCTCCGGTCTGAATTCTAGTCGGGTTCTGACGTTTTCTCTTTCTTCCGTTTGATCCTTCCTCCTTGCTACTAGAGTTATCCAGACTTTTCTCATCATCTGTGATATCAATCTTCTGGTCTTCCCCATTCTCATTACTCTTCTCAGACCTGGAGTCAGGATCTGTCACGTTTAGTTTCTCAGAGATCGATTCAAGATCCTCAGATTGTCGGGAAACCTTCTCCGACTCCGCTAGGTGCCTGGAGTAGAGGGAGGATAGTTTCTGCATCTCGTGAAATCTTTGTAGTTCCATCTGCTGATGGTGAAATTTATGAAGCTCTGGGGGAATAAGATTAGGAGGTAAACTATGGAAGTGATGGAAGGGAGGAACCCCGGATACAGGAAGATTTGACTGTACGGGAAGGTGATGTTGAGATATGGGAGGTTTAGGAGTAAGACCAAAGGGTATCACTGGACCTTGATGAGTGCGACCGTCGTGTGGTGAGATCTTTCTTCTGATGTGTGGAGTATGAAGTTTAGGGTTTGGGTTGGCAGAATGTCTGTTCCTACTCCTCCTACTGCTAAACATCATGTTACAGCCAGGAACAGAACATTTATGCATTTCCCTGAGATGCACAGCGGAGAAATGTATCTTGAGTGCGCCCTTGTCACAGAAAGTTTTGAGACAAACATTACATTGAACTCTTTTTTTACCGGTTGCCGGGTTTACAAAGGTTGTTCCAAGATCCTCGTGGAATGCGCTGTATTGACGCTGAGGATCCATCCCTCTTCTTCCACTGGAGTGTTCAAGAGAATTTCTTTCTGGTTTAGTTTCGTGGTTACGACTTAGATTCATCGGATTAAAGTGGTTTTCTTCTTTTGATTTCCTCTCCGCATCATGAAACTTAGACATCTGATGTTGGTAGGGAGATATACCGTGATGTAGACTGAAGCTAGGAGGGATAGGATAACCCGGAGGCAATCCTGTCTGATGAAACCTCATCGGACTCATCGAGGGGGGAATTGGTTTCTCCACCGGGGATCTTGGAACCTCTGGTGTCCTTCTTTCAGATTTCCTGTAATCAAATGGATGCATGCTCTGCAGTTTGTTTAAAGGTGAAGGAGACACTAGGGAAGATGTTGATGTATTGGGTGAGGGAGGAGGAAGGGACGGAGATGCTCCGATGACTGCAGGAGATGATATAGGAACCGCCAAACTTGAGATTGATTCAGGACTAGTTCGTGAGGAGGAGAGAGGAGAGGGTTGATTATGAATAACCGGAGATATATCTGAGGTTGATCCAGGACTAGTTTTCCCCTCCTCACCAGGTGTATTATTATTCATCAGTTTAACCATATACTCCTGGAGTTTAGCTTTAGAATCAGGGTTCCTTTCACACAGCTCCTGGAGTAGCAGTTGGTGGGTCAGTGCTCTGGTTACTCCGAACCTGAACAAGAATAGGGATATTTACTCTTCCTTTAGATTTATATCCCTAGGTGGGATTGATAGAGATTGCTTTTAAATAATTAATCCGAGATAGAGAGGGGGAGGAGAAGGATCTAGACTAAGTGAAACTTGGGATAAATTGTGTAGTAAATTTGTACCGGGAGAATAAAGAAGGTATAAAATAGTAAGTTAGATAGATAGATAAAGAACTAGAGGATAGTAGTAGTAGTAGTCAAGGACGAAATAAAGAAAACTTGGATGAGAACTTTAAACAGTTCAGAGAAAGAGAAGGTATGCGCCAAGGATGATTAATCATTAGATTACTCAATTAATTAATTAATTAATTAATTAATTGATTGTTCTTTACCTGAGAAACTGTTGAAGTATCACGGGTTCCTCCTCGCTAGGGCACATTTTCCACTTCTCTAGAGTATCCCCTTCTCCGTCCTAGGATACATCACGTAAATATAGATGCAGGACGTAAGCACTGGATGCAGCACGTAAACAGAGGATACAGAACGTAAATATATAATGCATGACGGAAATATAAATTGCAGTACACAAATATAGACTAGAGGATGCAAAAAAAGGATAAAGAACGTTATAAATAGGATACAGGACGTCGATATATAATGCAGTCCGTAAATATAAATTGCAGGACATAAATATAGACTGAAGGATGTAAAAATAGGATAAAGAACGTTTTAAATAGGATACAGGACGTAAATATATAATGCAGGACGTAAATATAAGTTTCAGGATACAAATATAGACTGAAGGATGTAAGAATAGGATAAAGAACGTATAAATAGGATACAGGACGTCAATATATCATGCAGGACGTAAATATAAGTTGCAGGATACAAATATAGACTACAGGATGTAAAAATAGGAAATGTTATAAATAGGATACAGGACGTAAATATATAATGCAGGACGTAAATATAAGTTGCAGGACTTAAATATAGACTGAAGGATGTAAAAATAGGATAAAGAACGTTTTAAATAGGATACAGGACGTAAATATATAATGCAGGACCTAAATATAAGTTTCAGGATACAAATATAGACTGAAGGATGTAAGAATAGGATAAAGAACGTATAAATAGGATACAGGACGTAAATATATCATGCAGGACGTAAATATAAGTTGCAGGATACAAATATAGACTGAAGGATGTAAGAATAGGATAAAGAACGTTATAAATAGGATACAGGACGTAAATATATAATGCAGGACGTAAATATAAGTTTCAGGATACAAATATAGACTGAAGGATATAAGAATAGGATAAAGAACGTTATAAATAGGATACAGGACGTAAATAAAGCATACAGATTGCAAGATTTAAACATTTAAAATAAAGAACGTAATTGTGGGTTAACAACGGTAAATACGATCAAGAATACAATATTCATGCAAAATACTTGATACAATAAGCTTATATGATACAGAGATTTTATATATCATGTGTGGGATACAAAACAAAGTACACTAAATACAGGGTACAAGATACAGATATTTTATATATGATGTGTGTGATACAAAATAAAGTACACTAAATACAGGGTACAAGATGCAGAGATTTTATATATGATGTGTAGGATACAAAACAAAGTACACTAAGTACAAGGTGCAAGATACAGATATTTCATATATGATGTGTAGAATACAAAACAAAGTACACTAAATACAGGATACAAGATACAGATATTTTATATGTCATGTGTAGAATACAAAACGAAGTACACTAAATACAGGGTACAAGATACAGAAATTTTATATATGTATGATGTGTAGGGGTACAAGATACAGATATTTATATATGATGTGTAGAATACAAAACGAAGTACACTAAATACAGGATACTAGATACAGGATGAAAAATGAAAAATATAATTCTCAGAATTCAAGAACCTTTTAATATACTGGGTCGATGTTCTCGAAGCTGAAAATATTGTTTAAACCAAGTTTATAAGATAAACAGAAAATGTAAAAGTTTTGTCTGATATGCGAGGACGGAGCTATCTCCTGGGAACCGGAGAGTATAATATTTACTCTGATTAATGAGACAGAAACCTGGAATTCATCTTAGAAACTAACACGGAGATTTTAACCTTAAGACTATACATGTTAATAACCAATAGAATGATATTGAATATATTAGATCAGATGTATAAACAATGAACAAGTCAACGAATAAAGATTTTTTATACTTTTGTAGTGACATTTTTTGACCCCTGCACTTGATATTTGACAATTGAAAAGGCACTTTGACTGTTAAATAAATGTTCTCTACCTTACACCCTGTACACAATACACATATACACCCTGTACAATATATATCAGTAGGATAAGGTACCTTGAGTATATATCCTCTCTGATAATCCTGGAGACTCCAACCGAATCCTCGGAGAAGACTATTAACCTCGTCAGGACTGAGAAGAGAGAATAATCTATCCAGGAGCATCTTTAGCTTGACAGGGACAGCGTGGAAACCCTGAACATGGAGAAACTGTATCCAGGTACTAGTACATGTACAAAATCTGAAAATTTCAGACTAATAGGTCATATTGGAAAAAATGTTATGTTTAAAAAAAAGTAAAGAAGTTTAAGCGTTCTATCGAAATCTGTTTTACGGATAAAAAACCATCAGGGGCGTTTACTTCCACCCCCCTCGTTCTCTGTATGGGAACATATAAGGAAACCCCGTGTATAGGAACATATAAGGAAACCCCGTTTATAGGAATATATAAGGAAACCCCGTGTATAGGAATATATAAGGAAACCCCGTGTATAGGAACATATAAGGAAACCCCGTGTATAGGAATATATATGGAAACCCTGTGTATAGAAATATATATGGAAACCCTGTGTATAGGAATATATAAGGAAACCCCGTGTATAGGAATATATAAGGAAACCCCGTGTATAGGAACATATAAGGAAACCCCGTGTATAGGAATATATAAGGAAACCCTGTGTATAGGAATATATATATGGCAACCCTGTGTATAGGAATATATATGGAAACCCTGAGTATAGGAATATATGGAAACCCTGTGTATAGGAATATATATGGAAACCCTGTGTATAGAAATATATATGGAAACCCTGTGTATAGGAATATATATGGAATCCCTTTGTATAGGAATATATATGGAAACCCTGTGTATAGGAATATATATGGAAACCCTATGTGAAACTGGGCAGTAAATGCATAGGTTTAGAACTCCAGGTTTGGCTCATTAAATTCAATTAATGGTCTTCATGATTTAGTATTTATGTACTCTCATGTTTAATTCTCTGTACAACCAATAAATTATAAAAAGGACATATATATTCTTTCATTACATTGTACTGAAAAGATATCCTGGAGTATTTGACTACCCTAGAGTACTAGATTACTCTAAAGCAACTACCCTGGAGTACTATACTACCCGGGAGTACCAGACTACCCTGGAGTTCTAGACTACCCTGGAGTAATAGAATACTCTGGAGTACTAGACTACCCTGGAGTATTAGACTACCCTGGAGTACCAGACTACTACAACACTACACCAGGAGTACAAGACTACTTCTAAACTAACCTGGAGTATTAGACTACTCTGGAGTACCAGACTACTACTAAACTCACATGGAGTATTAGACTATCCTGGAGTACCAGACTACCATTAACTAGCTGGAGTACTAGACTACCCTAGAGTACCAGACTACTGCTAAACTAACCTGGAGTACTAGACTACCCTAGAGTACCAGACTACTACTAAACTAACCTGGAGTACTAGACTACCCTAGAGTACCAGACTACTACTAAACTAACCTGGAGTATAAGACTTCCCTAGAGTACCAGACTACAACTAAACTAACCTGGAGTACTAGACTACCCTAGAGTACCAGACTACTACTAAACTAACCTGGAGTACTAGACTAGCTACTTGAAGAACGGTTCCAGGTGATATTTGCTCCGCGTGTCGAAAATCCAGTTCAGTGTTGCAGAGCAAGTCGCGAGAATCCATTACTGAAATAAATATTATAAATATACGGTTTAAAACTAAATCTTTTCATATACGATTTTCCTTGAATTTCAAATAACAAGGACAATTACAAAATACGTCAAATTAGAAATTTTGCGAGGTTTTGGCAAGATATTTGAGTTTTATTGCATGAAAATTTCCTAAAGATGCAAATTTGTGTTGTAAGTTGTGTTCTGTGTGCAGGGATAAACGTCAGGAACAAGAAATATTCACGGTTTAAGCGTTTAAACTTCCATTTGGTTGAAACCTACATCGAAATTTGTTTCTCCCAAGGAAAATATGGTACCCGAACCCTCTCTAATTATAGACGTAGATCCTACAAGTATTCAAATGGCTTGAAATGGCAAAGCATGAAAGATGATTCACGTCCTTACATATTTTGCAAAAATACATTCTTCTCCAGACTTAATGTAAGGTTGGACATGAAGAGATAGATAGATGGATAGATGATTCAGGATGAACAGGGACGGAGAAAAGAAAATATGTAGATGAGAGAAGAGAATATGTCTGGAGATGTCTGTAAACCTAATTACAGAAGGATGAGCGCATTGTGGGAGAAATCAAATCAGATGATCAAGGATTCATACAATTCAATCCAAATTCATTTCTAGATAAATATTTGGATTTTGTAAAGAATCTCTATAAGTAAATATGGTCTGTTTCTACCCTAGATATATCAGAAACAAGTATATATTTGTAATTGTAAAGGGTAGAAATTAAGTATGCATGGTTGCTAAACAATTGTTTACTAAGACCTGAGGGGTTTACATACATATATATATATATATATTTGTGTATATTTAAACAAATAGACATATTCAAACACTAGCACATGGATAATAGAACCCTGTAGAAGTTATAATATATAATATAAGGAGCAAATCCAAAATTATTTGATTTATAGATATCTGAAAACTAGAATGAGGGGTTGGATATCTGAAAACTAGAATTAGGGGCTGGATATCTGAAAACTAGAATTAGGGGCTGGATATCTTAAAACTAAAATGAGGGGCTGGATATATGAAGACTTGAATGAACGGCTGGATATTTGAAAATTAGAATGAGGGGCTGGATATCTGAAAACTAGAATGAGGGGCTGGATATATGAAAATTTGAATGAGGGGCTGGGTTTATGAAAATTAGAATGAGGGGCTGGATATCTGAAAACTAGAATGGAGGGCTGGATATATGAAAACTAGAATTAGGGGCTGGATATCTGAAAACTAAAATGAGGGGCTGGATATATGAAGAGTTGAATGAAGGGCTGGATATCTGAAAACTAGAATGAGGGGCTGGATATTTGAAAAAAAGAATGAGGGGATGGATATTTGAAACCTAGAATGAGGGGCTGGGCTAAAACCGCGAAGAATTTGAATTTCATCCTGTCTTGGTTCGTCCCTCGCTAAGACAAGGCTGAACGAGCAGAAAGAATTGATATCGTGGAACTGAATAAATAACCAAGACCAGACANCCCCCCTCAAGAAAATACAGGCCACATGTCAGCTGTTAGGCCTCTCTTGACAGCGGGAATAAAAAGCTGACAATTTACATAGAACGTTTAGAATACACATTCTTGAATTCCGTCTGACCCTTTAGTTTTTGCTATCTATCTAACAATCTACCAACCTTCTCTTAACTAAATTTTTGGCTTTTTTCTTTCTAAAAAATAAAAAATAACTACACTAATTTTTGTGATCTATGGTCCGTCTTTGCCCCCATAGAAACAACTGAAGGATTTATTTAAAAGTGTTAAAACTTCTGACAAAGCTGGGGCTGAGGGGTAAAAGGTCTGTTACATATTTCTAAAGAAACAAAAACAAATGAAATATGTGTTTTTGTATTAATGGGCTAATGTATTGTGCTAGGTTTCCTGACAAGAGAACATCATCTTTTATATATTTTTCTCCAGCTTTAGTCTCAATATGTTTAATATATATTTCTATACATTTGAGATATTTTAATACGATTTTTGAGAATTATAGACATATCTTTTCAATAACATGTATCAACGCATATTTCATGTTGTTTGTTTTTCTAATATTTTTGTTCTGCGTGATTAAGAATTGTTTTGAGTAAATGAATTTTAAAAACTGTTACCAACTGCTAGATCGGTACATTTTGAAAAAGTAAATGTTGAATTTCTCAAATAATTGACAGAGTCAGGTTTACAGCATATGGTATATGTGTGGCTTTGAAGTCTCCTATTCATAAAATTTTACGATTTGGGAACATGGTTCAACCCAGCACTCCGCTACATAATTTAACTCAGTTAAAACAAGAAAACCGAGGAAACCGAGGAAACCGGAAACCAGGAAATCATAAAACGGAAACCAGGAAACTAAGGAACCTTTAGCATAGTATCACAGAGGATAGAAAACAAGGTAAGAGAGAAAAAAAATGTCTGATAAAATTATGCTGGGATTCAAACTATTTGCTAAGCTTTAACACTGAACTGGATACTGTTGGTTTCTGTAGGATTAACACAAGGAACACTGTATTTTATGAACGTTGTAAAATGAATAAAGTATATTTGTACATATTGAAAGGTGATATTATTGTGTCGTATAACATGGTTGGTTTGAACAAGAGCTTGAACAATAGAATTGTAATGAATAGTAGGAGAAGAAGGTGCTTCTAACCACCTGGATATATCAGGTTTCAGGACGTGTAATCTCATTCCGTACATGATGTAGGGTCGGTTAAAGTTAATTTTGTACTCCGGAATAGGTTGGAAAATATTAGTCCGGTTCTCCGGAGTAGGACTAGAGAAGATTAGACCAGTACTTCGGAGTAGGGTTGGAGAAGATTAGTCTGGTACTCCGGAGTAGGGTTGGAGAAGAAATATATATGTTCCGGTGCTCCATAGTAGGATTGGAGTATATTAATCTGGTACTCCGGAGTAGGGTTGGAGAAGATTAGTCTGATACTCCATAGTAGGGCTAGAGAAGATATATAAATGTTCTGGTGCTCCAGAGTAGGATTGCAATAGATTAGTTTGGTAATCCGGAGTAGGGTTGGAGAAGATATCTATATGTTCTGGTGCTCCAGAGAAGAATTAGAGTAGATTAGTCTGGTACTCCGAAGTAGGGTTGGAGAAGATTAGTCTGGTACTCCGGAGTAGGGTTGGAGAAGATATGTAAACGCTGTGGTGCTCCAGAGTAGGATTGGAGAAGATTAGTGTGGTACTCCGGAGTAGGGTTGGAGAAGATATATATATGTTTTGGTGCTCCAGAGTAGGATTGAAGTAGATGTGTAAACGCTGTGGTGCTCCAGAGTAGGATTGGAGAAGATTAGTGTGGTACTCCGGAGTAGGGTTGGAGAAGATATATATATGTTCTGGTGCTCCAGAGTAGGATTGTAGTAGATTAGTCTGGTACTCCAGAGTGGGGTTGGAGAAGATTAGTCTGGTACTCCAGAATGGGGTTGGAAAAGATTAGTCCGGTACTCCAGAGTAGGGTTGGAGAAGATATATGAATGTTGTGGTGCTCCAGAGAAGGATTGGAGTAGATTTGTCTGGTACTCCGGAGTAGGGTTGGAGAAGATATATATATGTACTGGTATATTTAACTAAGTATAGGTTGCAGAAACCTCTGCCCGGGGTTGTATTGCCTAGTTTATCCTGATGCTAGTTTATTAGAAAGAATTGGTAATAATATTTTGTATTAGTTGGGTTGAGGTCTGCCTATTTATAATAGTTTACAGATATGACAGAGCACGATTTGGCTGAAGGAGAATACCATTAGAATAATTCTAGAGCCGTAAATCTTAAATCTTTCTTCAGACTTTTACTTTTATCCTGTCATTGCTGGATCTAGTCTTGTTGGTATCTTTTACACATTTTTTGTCATTCAGAATTTTATTTTTATTTGGTTTTGAATAATGGATTCGAATAACCGGTTTGAGGAGGCAACTGTAGTTTCAAATGGAACCAGAGTTGTGATACTAGTTCTGACAACCCTGAGAAACAAAAATAAATAATTATAATGAGACCGAACCAAACCAAACTGAGGAAATAGAAAGAAATTAGATTTTTTGCTTCAATGTCGGAGAAAAGTAGACCGGAGCAGGATTAATGAAGGTTGATGTTGAATCATGATTTTTCTCCAACACTTGAGCAGTTTCCACTTTACATCACACAAAACTCATTTCATTCTCAAGATCTAGAATGTATCACTTCTCCGATAGAATAGTTTGAATCCGGTTTAAAGTATATATTTGCCTGGATCCTGAATAGGTTTGATATTAAACTTTGATATTGAAGCCTAGTGTGGCCTGCCGAGGCATGTCCAAGCTTGACAGGCAGTTGACAGTCGGAATTTCGGCCTCAAGGCCCAGCTTAGATTGCTCTCTATACTCAGGGGTGCAAATACATCTGGAGAATAAAGATTTATCCGACCTTAATCTAGAAACAAACATTTTACCTCTAACAAATAGCAATATTCGCTTTGCATACGTTTCTTAATCAAATCTATGAAAATATCCAAGAAAGAATTAACCCCAACTTTAACACAAAAAGTTTGAATTTTCCCCAGGTTTCTTTTCTCCGGGCTTATTCAACCCTGTGATTGAAGAAGAAAATGTTTGATATATCCAGGTCCGGAGATGCATACTGTGGACAGGAGTTAAGACTGGAAACTGCACAGTTTCAATTTTTTACTTACATCATTCTAGTGTCCGCTCAACAAGCATTAGAATTATTGTTTATAACTGTCTTGACTTTATTTTCACCTTTCTTGGCTGACATTTTAACCACTTGACTATTGTCTTATAGAGTCTTTATCATATATCTCTAACTATCACCATAGTTTTTATCTACAATTAGAAACCTAGATACTGAGACCAGATAACTGACAACCCTTCTGAAAGGCCAAGTTTTTTGTACGCCCTCCCCACCTCCTTACAGTCCCACCCAATACTCCCTCCCATTGAGTAAACGCCACCCCCCCCCCCATACTCCCGCCGAGTAAGGGCCCGCCCTCCGTGT